ATGCAGGTGTGGCCTCATGTTGGGGTTATTTACCAACAGTATAATGTGTTTATTTTGATCCACAATATCAGGCTACAAGTAAACCCCTGCAGAGGCTGACTTGAACTTGTTTGTAGGTGATAAAAAATTGTTTTGCTGCTGATTTTGGATGGCAAAACTAGAATCGTGATGAATTATAATAACTTGCTTTCAGTGCTGTACTCAAAAGATATAGGTCTCCTCTGTAGTGCCCTAAGGTTGGATAAAATGTAAACTGAGGGCCTTCTCATTACTTTTCCAGTAGACAAAATGTAAACAGAGTACCTTCACTTGTCCCCCTCCAAGTTGACAAAATGTAGAGAAAAGTGCTCCATCTTTGGTGCCCCTCCTGTGGACTGGATGTAAACTGAGGGCTTTCAGGTGTCCTTCTAATTGAAAAAATGTAAAAAAAAAAAAAAGCACCCTCCATAGTGCCCTTCTAGTGGAGGAAATGTTAACAAAGTATCCTCCTCTGGTTGCCCTGCTTGTAGGAAATTGTAAACAAAGTGTCCCCTGTGACCTTCTAGTTAAAAAAAAAAAGTAAAATTAAAAAAAAAAAAGTCCCGTCTTTGGTGCTTTTCCTGTGGACTGAATGTAGACTGAGGGCTTTCTGATGCCCTTTCAGTAGACAAATGTAAACTAAGCGCCACCTCTGGTGCTCTTTCCAATAAATAGAATGTCAACTGAGAACTTTCTGGGGGCCTTCTAGTTTGCAAAATGTAGACAAAGCACCCTCTCTGGTGCCCTTCTAGTAGACAAATGTAAACAAATTGTTCCCTTCTGGTTTTCAAAATGTAAACAGAGTGTCCTCCTCTAGATGCCTTGCTAGTTAAAAAACTGTAAACAAAGAGCCCTCTAATCGGTAACATGGGAAGGGCTTCCATTAAAAAGAATACATTAAAATAAAAACTGTGGTGACACCCTGACTTCCAAACTTTACTCTTTTTAGCGTTCGTCCATAAATCCAGATTTTGTACCTCTGTGCTAAGCTTTCCGACTCTCCAGCCTGTAATCCGCCGTACGCTTCCTGCTGTATTGTGGAGCTCACACCTTCTGCACTCATATGACACCTTTACCCAGATGAACTTATGCAGCAGTGCAGGTAAGGGCTGGTTATGTCCTAAAGGACGCTATGACATTGCAAGTTGGCTGTTTCAAAAAATTTTAACCTGTGACCATCTGGTTGCAGGACGATCTCAGGAAACACAAGGCCAACCCGCCTGCTGTTAGGTAATGAGAGTGTCCATGAGGATCGGACGGATACAGCCGTGTTTATGACCAATTCTTTGCTTTAATTTGGGCTGTGGGTCTATATCATGAGCGAAAACAGCGCTCATAATCTTCTGGGGCTGCACAAAGTAACAAAAGGACTTTGCAATATAAGACAAAGCAATATAACAAACTAAAAAATGCCTGCCTGGATAAAACAAAAGCTGAACATTATAAACTTCTCAAAAGTAGAAAATATCTTTAGGGGATTGGATTTGTTTGCATTATATTGTGAGATATAGCTGTTATTGCAGACGGGCTTTTCTTTACCGTGGAACAAATACAATTTTTGAGGAAGCACTTTTTTTTAATTTTATTCTGTTGTCAACATAAAGAAGACACTTTTTCTATTATAAAGTTGGCAAAAAGACCAACAGCTGCTCTCTAAAGGCTACTTCAGCTTGATGCTTAACAATAACAGCACACAGTCTGGGATGATGTTCATCAATGTCAGACATAAAAAGACTTCTAAATCAAGTTTCTCACTCTTTAATCACAACGAAAAATCAGAAACTTCGTTCAGGTTGTGACACAAGAGCTGAAAAATAAGCAGAGTCACGTCAACATCTGCACAACAAGTCATTAAAGAATAAAGTTTACTTTTAGTAACGACTACATAACTGAGGAAAGAGTTTGTAAGTCAAAGTGAAGTTGGCCTTTAAAGACCAGAACTAAAAGTGTGATTCTCCGTTTTTCAACTTTTTATCAGCCGAAAATGTTAATCAGTCTAAGTTATTTTGAGCGCAACAACAACCACTCTCTTCATCTTTATTTTTACCCATCACTTAAATACAAAAATGCACATGCTACTGCTTTGTCCATTCTGTGCTACTGTAGAAACATGGCCAGTGCAAGATGGGGGAAACCAAATCAGGGGATCTGCTCCTTATGAAGATAAGAAAGGCTCATTTTGAGTTAAAAACAATGATTTTTATATTCAGTTAGTTATATACAAAATGAAAGCTCCTGTGAGACGTTTGTAATTTGTCTAAATTGCCGATCTCATCCTCTAGATCAGACCTCGGCATTTTAAAGCCTCATCAACATGCTATAAAAGTGTGTTGCTTGTATTTTGAAAACCTTACCGTTGTGCTATTTCTGTTTGGACGTATGTGCGTACATCCTAGATCTGCATTTGTGAACAGAGACAAGTTTAAACATTGTCAAAATATACGTAGACGCCTTAGAGTTGCCAAGTCTGCTTATTATAAAAGACTTTGAGCTTGTTTCCTTCAGAAGTCGCTTGTAAAACTTGTGAGTAGTGAGTGCGCTTTTTTTGGGCTTGTTTTTAACTAGTATTTGCTTATTTGGTCTTGCTTTTTGGTATGTGTGAACCCCCCCAATTTGAAGTTGAAGTTATTGTTGGTTCGGACTCCAACACAGTTCAGGTTTCTTATGTGCCTCCATGTAAAAATTGATTGGACAACCCTGCTCTAGATGCTAAAATAATGTCATAAATAATGTCATATGTATTATTTAAAATCAATATTTAGATATGAATATTGAAAAATAATGGCTGCTCAATTGACACTTACCCTCTTATAAAGGTTTTAGAATTTAAAAATTGAAATATAAATGTCAAAAGTTACGTCGCTTTTGGTGAATTTCAGTCAATTTCATAGATATCAAAAAACTACTTATACGAGCTTTATACATCATTAAGATATTATATTTCTACCTAGTCTGTTTTCCTAAATGCTGCACCCTCTGACAGCCTGGTGCTGGTCATATGTTGTGTCTTGTCACCTTGTCATGGTGCAATAATTCTCTACTACCCAGATGTAAACAAGTTTCTGTCTGCAAACCAGTTTGACCATCAACCTGCAGAGTCTGGGATCTTGTGTTGAATAAATTGTGTTTATTTTGACTGTTTGTAGACTAGTTGGTTAGCCAAGATTTTATTGTATTTTTTTATTAAAATGACCCTAAAGTTTGTTGATATTGTCCAGAAAACCAAGTACAAACTGAAATCAATAAAAAAGTCAAATCCGTCACATTAAAATGATGAAAATAAACCCGAAACTAGTAGAGCTACCTCCTCTCAAATGTATAAATATAAAGGTTTTCCAAGACCCAGATGTCAGTAATGACCATATTTTAAGTTAAACTTCTGCAATATGTCATTTTTCCATCTTTTACGTCCAAAATCAGAATGTATCTTGCGATGTACAGCTCGTTACTGAAGGCACGGTTCGAACAAGACTCTGTAAACACTGGAGCTCGCGTGTCACTTCCTTATGTTAATTAATGTGCATTGTGACCTTCTCAAAAAGGAGAAACGTAAACAAAAAAACATGCTGATAAACACAGAATTCCAATTAAAATGCAATAAACACATTCCTCAGTTTAATTTAAATACTTGAATATACATTTTTGACAGAACACGACCCTGATACGTCCGTTTACTAACATACTTTACTTTTAATTGACATTTATTATTGGGAATTATCCTGTGCAATCACGACTGTAAACACGTAGCGACTTTTCTCACCCGTGCCACTTTTATTTTAATTAACGGTTCTTTATTTTATCGGTGTTGCTGCAGGTACAGTGCAGGCTGCAGGGAAAGGGTTATGCAAGGGGAGACTCTGGGTGATAACAATGAGGAATGCAGTGACTGAGCAAGAAAATCCTCACAACATGACTTAATGTATGGCTTCCTCACGAGGCTTTGCTTACCTGCACACATTTTTGGATAAGATCAGCACTCCTCCTCCTCTGCACCGCTCCCTATAGAGCAGGATGGTGGGAGGTTATGGAGGAAACCGCTCCTTCCTTCTTCTTTTTCTTTTTTTTGGTCCCTTTGAGGATGGAAATTGTTCTTATCGAGTGTGCAGCGCCAATTTAGAAATTGCAGCGATGGAGACAGAAAGCCTTATTATTCGGATCATGGTTTTGTTACTCTAATTGATTGATTCAGTGCGCACAGACCGGCTTTCAGCAACTCTATTGATCTTTAAAGATTCCCTGTGTGGGCTGCAGGTTGATCATTTCCTTTAAGCCGGGGAGAGGGATGATTTTTCTGCTAGATGTATGTCATGTTGATAAGAGTGTGGCAGGTATGGAGAACATGAATAACCCATGAAGCAAAGATGTATATTGTGCTGCTTGAAGTTGAGGAGCCATTATTCAACCTCAGGTATTTTGTCACAGACGTGCTGACTTTTTTTTTCTCGAGGAAATACACTAGATGTTGTTTGGAAATGCATCTTTTTAGAGCCATTATTCAGCATGCATGAGACTTATCTGCATGCGGGCAGGAGTAACCATAAATCATACTCACCACTTTTTGGCAAAGTTGATTCAGATAGTGGGTTTATGTTATCACATGATTAGTGAGCAGGAGCGGCTTCACTCAGTCCACTTTCATTGTTCGCTCCAGCATTTAATATTTGATTCTTTTTCATACCCTTTCCTCACGTAAACATTACATATTTATGATTGTTCCTTATTTATTTTGCATTCTAACTCATCATTAGTGTTAGTTTTTGTTCCCTGTGCCGAGCGCCTTGTTTGGCCTCTGGTGGATATAAGATAAACTGGAGATTTACGAGCAGAGAGGATGCCAGAGAGAGAAATGTGTGTCAGTCTGAAAACAGCACAGGGCTAGAAGGACTCGGCTATTTAAATGATTTTTCTCTGGGTTTTAATTGAAGCCAAGAAGATTCACAGGGGACACAAACACTGCGGTTGTTTTTTTTTTTTCTGACAAAGCTTTACCCACAAATGATGACTCTACATTTGCCTCAGTGCTATTACAGACTTGAGGTGTTTTCAGACCAGTTAGGGGGACATTTTAAAGATGAGGGGTCCCCTGAGGACTAAACACCCCGAGGACTTTTTGAGATTACACTATATATAAATATGAACTCAGCACTTTTAATATAAGATTGTTAAAAAAAAGCCTTATGGATGCATTTATAAGCCTAACAACATGCTAAGCCTGACTTTGGGCTCTCTAAATTAACAGACAGTGCCGCACAAGGTTCTTTTTTAACCACGTTATAATAAATGGACTTCTAATATGCAGAAAAAATATATATTTATATCTAAAAAATAGTCTTAAATGAAAAAGTAGACGAATAAAACTTAGGGTTCAAGTGGTGTCATGTGCCTGAGTCATGCTATAGACTTTTTCACTTATAAGTCCTACCATCACAAGGCCCTCTGTTGACTACAGTGGCCCTGAAGGTCAATGGAAAAAATATTTCAGAAGGGAAAAAAATAATATTCCATAACACACAAGTTGGTTCATTTAATAATAATAATAAAAAAAGTTTCAAAACCAGACAAAAAAGTGTTAAATGAACATAATACTTGGATTTTCCCATAATAATAATAATAATAATAATAATAATAATAATAATATATAAGGGGGTACCACAGGGGTCTAGTTTAGGGTCTCAAACCTTTATCTCTTGTATTCATAATGTTATTCCTCTTTGAAACAAATCCAATATGAATTTCTATGCAGATGATACAATCTTGTACGATATTGCAGACTCTTAAAACTTGCTTTCAGTCCATAAAACTAGATTTATGTTTTTCTTGAGAGCGAACAGCACTGGTCCTTTGTGTAAACTCAAAAATAAACATCATAATGACCATTTAGCCAACAAACTACATTTTTGAAATCAACTAAACACTAATTTCACATTGTTTTTGAGGAAATTGATTGTAGGTACCCATATTGCTTCTTTAATTGGATTATGGTGAAGTGATTAACATGCATCTCCATCAGCTCTTAAACCAATACATGCTGTTCATTATTCTGCTTTTAGATTAATCACAGGTGATCCTGATATTACAGAGTCTCTCTTCTCTTGGTCTTCTGAAACACGGTCTAATGACTGTCTTTGACTCCAAGCTCCTCGAGTTTATTCATCTCTGCTTTAAAATCCTTTTTGGTTGATTGTTTTATAGAGTTAATTTCAGTATTCTGTATTTTCCTGCCCGTTTAAAGTAAATAAGGGCCAGTCCTCAGTGTCTCTAATAAAAGCTGTCCTCGTCGTGTTATTTTCTACTTCAGCTCAGTTATTGGCAGCTCCCTCATTTACAACTGTGCACCTCCGAATTAAAAAAAAGTCAAGGTAACCCAAACCTGCTTCATCTCAGACTGTGCACAAATCTCATTAGTCTGAACCCCTGCAAACCGCAGCTGGTTAAAAACAAACAGAAAATCTCCATACTGCCTCACAGCGTAGGTGATTTTATTACTCCCTGGCCTCCAGTCGGGATTTCCCTTCATAATGTCAAGACGTAGTGAAAACTTAATTATTCACATCTGTGCCCTTAAACGAACCTTGGCGTATACATTTAGCACATCCAGTCCTGACTTTTACAAACTCACATCTCAGACACCTTTGTTTCTTTTAGTCCAAACACGCGTCCTGTTTGCTTCACTAAAGGGATTTTCTGTAAAGAGAAAATCGTGGCATCAGTCTGTCGAGGAAAAAAGAAAAAAAAAACAATGATTTAACTGTAATTTCCATGCAGGAAGCCTGCTGAAAGAATGATGCAGTATTCCTGGTGCTGTAGCTGTCAGAAGTATCCGTCACTGGCAGGACTATTTAGGGAAGAATATTTATCAAACCCAGCCTGGAAGTGGGGCTGTGAATACTGATGGTGCGGTTTCAGGTGGTGACGTTTTAGGGTCAGTGATGTGGTATTTTGATGGTTAATACTCTGTAAAATTGAACTATATCACCATTTTGCTTCTTTTTGATGGTGCTATTTCTCAGTCAGATCTCTAAAGCAGATCTGCAGATCACCGCGGCGCTGATATTCATCAAAGTGTTTTGCAGAATTGAAAGAAAAGCCCGCTGTGATAATTTTATTTAAGCATTCCTTTCTCTCCTCATGGGACATACACGGCGCATTATGCAAATGAAAACCACAGAGAAACAAATTGTTCTTCTTTGAGTAGATATCAGAGATTTTAAACTTCTTTTCATGATCTTAAATGTAATTCTGTCATTCCAGTGAGCCGCTGCTCCGGATGTTTTATTTCCCGTAATGCTGTTCAACACATCAGCGACTGTACAAACAGTGGGAGATGCTCTTGATGGCTGGCGCTCACATTTTTAAGCTCCTTCCCAGCTGTCTGCTACGATGCACACGCTCCTCGGTAGATCAGGCACACCTGACACTTCGAGCATGGAGGTAAACATACGGCACATACCTGCTGCTCCCGGAGAGATGAAGAAGTCGGAGCACAATTCCCTCTCGAGGAGGAGATGTGTTTGATCTCTGATATCATGAATGGAGCTCTCCAGTCCTGTATTGGTTTTCCTCTGATGAGTGTTTGTTGTAAAAATGGTACACTTGAGTAAAAGGCGAGCTATGCTATCTCACAGGTGGAAATACATCATTTAAAAGCACAGAGGGGGGAGAACTGGTCTGATAAAAAGAGAAATGAACAAAATAGAAAGAAGGGCTGAGACTGAACACGAGTGGAGGATTCCCATGAAACAGAAAATACGATAATAATTCATCTTAACCGTCTTATAGGAAGACAAAAAACACCGAAAAGCTGCAACAGCTCTGCTAAGATGGTGTTTTTGCTTGTTTCAAATAGAAATCTTGAGGTAGGGCTGGGCGATATGGCATCAAATCAATATCACGATATATTGAGCGGTCCACCTCGATAACGATAAATGGACGATAACTACTCCACAAGCTGCTCACCCCCTCCCACATTAACTTTGTCTACTTCAGCCGCTCCAACTTTGAACCGTCCTCCATCTCCTCTCCTGTCTTTCTCTCTTTGTTACGGACTGGATGGGGTGGAGTCACGTCTCTGATGTAGGACAGCGTCTCAAAGGGACATGAGACCATAGCGTACCTACACACATCCAAAACTAACTTTGATGTATTTATTTTTTTGACACTGAATATACCGATATTGACAAAATGACGTCAGTTATTGTTGTAAATTTCGGTGTTGGTAAATTTTCTGTTTATCGCCCAGCCCTACATTAAAACTTGCCTGTTAACAGCGCCATATAATGGGATGCTACTCAGAAACTCACGTAGCTAGAAGGCTACTGAATACTACCTTAGACATGTTTTATTTATCTAGGACAGCATTAACTAGTCTGCAAATTTTTCATGCAGTTCAATATTTTCTACCCAAAACCATATTTCTGATCAATCCCCAACATCATTTCTTTATCATTTTCTCGAAGTAATAATCACCATATTAATCATTTTCACTGCAGATACAGTAGTTCTTCTCCCTTAGCGTCTCGGTCTGATTGTATTTCCATGAAGAAATGATCATAAATGTTCTTCCTTGAGCTGCGACACCCCGCTGTAGTCCGTAATGGACTGGAAGAGAGTAGGTGAGTTGTGTTTAGTCTCTTTGTTAAAGAAATGAGTCAAAGTTAAAAATATGTTTGGTGTCTAGTACTATGTCTGTGACCCTATATGTCCTGTTGATGAAGTTAGGTGCTGTTCTGAGCATTATTTGTGGCTATAGAGTGGCGTTTTGGTTGAGCGCGTGGCTCTCTCACTGTGTTTGACCCTATATCAATTTTATGCCGGAATATCCCTTTAAAGAGACATGAGACCATAGCCTACCTACACACATCCAAATCCAACTTTAATTTATTCATTTTTTTGACACTGAATTTATTGAAATGGCCGAAATGACGTTGGTTATGCTCGTAAATTTCGGTATCGATTAATTTTCGGTTTATCGCCCAGCCCATTCTTGAGGGCAAATGTTGCAGGATAACATCGGCATCCCAGAGTGTGATTTCACATTTACACACAGCTGGTGCTTAACGTTCGCTCGCTTAGTCATGCACACTCACTGTTCCACCCTGCCTGCTCCGTCAACACCATACTGATCCAATCTCACCCCCTTTAATGCCTCTGTTAGTCTGTTAGCACCAGTGTTGGCACAACAGCAGGATGACTGTCTCACCATTATATATTTATTTGCTTTTATTTTGGAGGGGTGTGCAACACAAAATAACAGTAAATCTAAATTAGTATGTGTAGTTTGGTGGCTGAGGTCGCAGGTTACAGAAATGTCATGGTCCTGGTAAGGTACCTAAACCTGGGGAGGGGGGGTAGTCATGGTTAAGGTTGATAAGAGGACCAACATTTGTTCCCAGGTCTTTGATGGCACGCAATCTTTGGTTCCTGCATGAAAGACACACTCACCTCGCACCCAATCTCCTTTTATTTTCCACTACATTGACCCTGGCATAAAGCATAAATTGTGAGGCGCAGAAGCGTCCAAATGTGAACATTATCCATAGGGATACTTGGGTAAAACCAGAACATTGCAATCTCTTTACAATTACCCATGTCCTCATGACTGGAACACAGGTGATTACTGTTGGTGATGTGGCTTTTATAATAAAGCTTGAGAAATTCAGCGTACTATTACACTTTAATTCATAATATTCATACATATTTAGAGTTTATTTTGAAGATATTCTCAGAGCGATTGAGGCAAAAACATCTGGATTAAGCGGCAACTCTACTTTCCATCTTTTCCAGACTAATTATTCTTTTTAAAAAAGTCATAATCGGCAATAACATCGACATTTCTATACTTTTAAATCCAATCACTCTGGACCCACATGTGTGTTTTCGTTTCTCCTGTTGCTTTGTGGCTACTCCCTCCCCCCTCCTGGACCGTGACCATTACTCGACATTGTAATGCACAGCCCAACAACAGGCCGCCTCCCTTGTGACCTTCAGCTTCGGAGTCCAGCGCATCTCATTCCCTTTGACACTGCTTGCCATTCAGGCTGTAATTGTCACTCGCTCAAGGCTTTTAAAACCATCAAAAGCTTCTCAGTGCTGGGTGCATGACAGTATATCTCGGCTCTCATCAGAACATTGGGCTGCCAGAGAAACTGCCCTCCAAGAGCTAATCCAGCCCCCTGAGGTGCTGCTCCAACCAAACTAATTATTCTGTGTAACCACACCAGCTGGAATACAGCCACCGCAGCTGCAAAATACAGGTCCGGAGTGAAACATTACAATCTGATCCCTATCTCTGAACTCGCTCCTCTTATCCCCGCTCATGCACGACTATATGACTTGCATTTCGTTTTTTTTTTTACCCCCATAATAACCTTGCTCTGCAGCGCCAGCCCTCTTTTTTCTGTTTGTGAACTTGGCTGGGTCGTATTCGCAATGCAGCCCGACCGACAGCAGGGTGATGTCAAGGAGCATCTTTCAGCCCAGAAGTCTTGACCATCCCTGGGCCAGCAAATATATCAAGGAGCTTTCCAGTTTGTGTTCTTCTCTCAGAGGAAATAGGCTCCCTGGGGCTTGGAGGCCTTCTCTTGATCCTGTGGTGATACCAAGGATTTACGGGGACTCTAGTGATTAGCCAGAGGGGAAATGGGAAAACAGGGCAATCGCTGCCAGCAGTCCTACATCAGACGAATATGGACAAACGCACACACTCATACGTCTGTGTGTGCACAAACAACCCGGCCCTGCACGCTCGCAAAGAAAACGCAGAAACACACATTTATATTGTAATGCAGAATCTGTTTGTACCTTTGTGGATGAGGAATTTTAAAGGTTATATAAACTGCTGTTTTGCCACTTTGTTCTTGTAAACTCAGCATATGAATATGCATCCAATTTTAACCTTGGAAATCAGCATATTCCTACAAATCATTCCTCCTTGATACTGAAAATGAATGTAGGACTCCCACTAGTCTCTCTGGCCTTGACGAGAAAACACTTGAGATACATGAATCCAAAACATAACCTTCTCTCACTACTTATGCTCACTACATTGTAAGCACATCCTGTTGTCAGAGCCTTCAGCTGCATTGGCGTTGAAAGCTGGCATTTGCTTGATCTCATCCCGACAGTATATGAAGATAAAGTTAGGCCTGAACAGACTGCTCTCACTCTGCCGTCTCCGTGCTACAGAGCAAAGCGCAGTCATCGCTTTGGTGGAAGGAGACGAGGGGCGTTGCATCATTTTCCGAAACAAAGTCAAGTCAGAACCATTTTAGTCAAAGAGATTTGTTGTTTGCATGCAACAAGTTGGCGGTCTGACTCTGTTTGAACGCTCCCTGCATGCCCTTCGATGTGAAAATGCAGGATGTCAGATTTTAGGGCGGGGAGAGTACAACTCGTAGGCATATGTTTTCCAACATTTGGTGCCTCTGTGGCCTGCCTGGACTAGCACCATGCTCATTTTTGACATCAACGTACAAGCTTTCAAAGTTACGCAGCTAAACAACAGTTCGTGAACAACTATTCCGCGCTTGTTTCTCGCCATGTTTGATATTCTTGAATCAGAAATAGCTCTTGTTGTATTGATGTAGGTTTTTAATCAACCTAGTGACTTTGTTGCTACATTTGGCGACTTTCCAGACCCCCCTATCAACTTATTTTCAAAAAAAGGTGCCTAGCGTCAAATCTAGCAATATTTCAGAAGTTTGTAGACTCGGACATAAAAGCAGGTACCGATGTTAATCTTCTCAATGGGTAGTGGATGCGCTTCAAAAACACACACACTCCTCCTCCCTTGGCGGTGGCGACGAGGGGTAATTAAGTGAAATTTTTGGTAATTAGGCGATGGCGTCATCTAGCTACTTTCCCTCCTGAAGAGTTGGCAGGATCTGATGAGAATATTTATCTTAACATCTGGTGCCTCTGTGGTCTGCCTGGACTAGCACCATGCCCATTTTTGATATCAACGTGCAAGCTTTCAAGGTTACGCAGCTAAACAACAGTTAGTGAACAACTATTCGCCATTTTGGTTCTTGACATGTCCGTTATTTTTTAATCAGAATTCTCTATTTTTCAACTTTAAGTGGTATTATCCTTCGTAGATTCATGTAGGTTTTTAATGCAGTATTGCCAACCTAGTGACTTTATTGGCGATTTTTCAGACCCCCTAGCGACTTACTAAGACTCCGACATTTAAGCAGGTATTGGTGTAACTCTTCTTAACTAGGGTGACAATACGTCCTCTTTTATTCGGACATGTCCTCCTTTTGGGAGCTGTCTGGCCTTGTCCGGCTTTTTCCAGGGAGGTTTATAAAATCCTTAAAATATCCAGGGTTTTGAATGGATTTTTGAGTTTTTGTTGCGTGGACTTACTGAGCTAGAAGCGCATAAAAAACACTCAATCCGACCAAGAAAACTGTCAAAAATACCTACGGATGACTCCATCCCATGTAGCAGAATATGGTCACCCTATTTTAATGCAGTTTGCAGGTCTCCTGCACTCAATGTTGGTTTTGTCGAGCCTTTGTCGAGGACACTCCTTTTGTACCCAATCATGACACTCACCTGTAAACGATTCCAAACAGGTGCCATCATTTTTCCAAATATTTTGTTGCCCTTGTACCAACTTTTCTGGAACGTGTTGCATCCATCGAATTAGAAATGAGTGAATATTTGCAACAAAGACCTAATCATAATGGTCTCCTTGAGTCTGATGTTTATATCTTAAGCATCTAGTCCATCCATGAGGTGAAGGGAAAGCATTTCGGTTTGTGCTCTCGCTATGGTGATGTGTGGCTAAATTGATTTCTCAGTGGTACTCTCAAAGACATGCTTCAGTGGAAATTACTGCACAGCTGTAGCGGTTCAATCATAAGACATATCTGGAAAGAGCTTCCACGTATGTGTTGGAGGGTCTGACACGTACAAAAAAAGGTGTTACTTTTACCGTGGACAAAATGAGGACAGCGTTTCTTTTTTTTTCGTGATGATGCTAATTGGCTGAGATCCTGCCCTCATGTCAAACAAAATTATGACTAAACCAACTAAATATACAATCTCTGACCTTTACTTTTCACACTTTTAAAATGTTCTATATATAATCTATTTTTGCTCATTCCTTTCCGCAGAATTATATTTCACTAAAACCAATTACAAAGACATTGGCGAATGTCTCGTCTCCCAGTGGACCTCCCACAGCTCTGCTCCTCTCACGCTAGGCTTCTGGGGTTGCAAAAAGCAATTAAAGGCGCCACCTGTTTCTGCATTCCTTCTGCCTCCACTGTTGGGTAATTGGAAACCTCTGTCTATTGGTGCTGGTGTTCGACCTCATCTGCGGCTGATATCTCACACAGCTGCCCCCCCCTTAAATCTCTGAAATAATACAAAATACCGAACAGTGAAGCAAATGATTCCCAAGCTTTATGCATCATTTGGGGGACCAAGTGGAGACTTTCCTCGGCTAGGAGAGCTGATAATTAGGAGGAAGTTTTGTAACATTTGTTGGTAGAAATCACAGCCTTATAGGTAGTAAAAGCTTCATCAATTCTTTCATACCTTCTCTTATTTTACCCACACGCTAATATTTAATGAGTATTTTACGTCGTCAGTGGGAATCCCCTGAAAAAGCCCTTAAAGCGAGAGGGCTCCTTTTAAGATCTTTTCACTCAGCTGCAAATAGCAATATTTACAACGATTTGAAGAGTACTCCAAAGTAAAGAGAAAGGAGAAGCCTGACCTTGTTGTTGTTAGAGTTAATTTACTGAATGGGCTCACTGTAGCTGCACCTGGAACATGGTTGGATGTTATTCTGTGTTGGTGAATGAATGAGGGAGTCGCCTTTGGAGTTTATTTTCCAAAAAAACAAAACAGAAATGTCAGGATATTATATAAAATAAATGCTGCCAACCTTGCGAAAAGTATCCCATCCATTTAAGGATCCATGAAAGGATGGGATACTTAAAAGGATGGGATTTCCCAAGTGGTGAGAAAACTTTTTGGGTGCAAGTAACTCGTTTTTATATCTCATCTCCTTTGACATGAATTACACGGCATCGGTGACCACACACTGGAGAAAAGGCTAGCTATCTAGCTGGCTTCTGGGTCTTCTATGACCTGGCTATCCTAAAGTAAGGTCACTAGACGTCCCCAATTTCCAGGTACAGTCCCTATATTGGATGACCTGTCCTGGAAATGTCTCCGATTTAAGCGATTTAATCTTTTGTTGCTGCAAGTCCAAAAAGTCGCTCAAGAATTAAACAAGGAAACTTTTTGCAAAACTAATTTTGTGGCGAATTTCCTTATAGAGTAAAATAAACATAAAAGTTACCAATCACAAATTATAAGTCCTAATAAAAAGTCCTGTTTTGTCGTTTGCTACCTAAGAATTTCTTTTTCTTTGTTTCCAAACTTTTCAGGTCAGAATCAGAAGTTATTCGGCCGAGTTTCGTGATCTGTTGAGTCAAATATAAAAACACTGGTAAACTCAGTGATAAAGACTTGGTGCCATGGTAACAGTGGAGGGGGCTGAATTTGAGACACCAGTAAAAAATGGAGCAATTCAGACAGAAGCTGAAATGACAGTATTCAAAGACTAGTACTGAGAAATCAGAGTGTGGTATGAAATTTAGCGTAACACCTACTTTGAAGACTGAACAAATGAATCTAAAACTAAAGAAACTATGTTGTGAACATTCAGCAAAGTTTTGTGGATATGGTCCACCTTTTGGTCTAGTTTTTCTCCACTGCATTAAGATAAGATAAGATAAGAAGAACTATTGATCCCAGAAGGGAAATTCAATAATAATAAATTAAATTTATTTCACTAAATCAGTTTTTGGTTTTCTTTGGGTGGACACCTTGAAAATATCTCTTCATCCAACCAAAACACCCAGTCAATCACTGCAGCTTGTGAATTCCTAAAAACGGAGCCGAACGCCGAGAGACTATCTACAGTATCTGAAGTACTGTAGGTGCGACACAGCAGCCAAACAGCAGGTCTTATCGTTGTTTTCTAACAGCCTTAATTTAACTTGGCCCATTAAGGTTTTCCAATGAGGTTTATCTGCCTCTGCTTAATTAAAAAAGTTGTATAAAGTATTTCTTCATTATAAGTTGCACTAGTTGGTAAACAATTTTCATTTTCTTCGATATATGATTCCAGCAGAAATCTTCATCTTGAGTCGATTTTTCATGTTTAACTCTGTGCATTAAGTCAAGTTTAGCTTCTATCTGATAACGTCTCTGCTCTCGCTGGATGTTCACTAAGAATAAAAAAAAACAAAAAAAGAACAACCTCGTAATCTGCTGGCAGTGTTAATGATGTACAGGTCAGCAAATCCTTTTATAGTGATTCAGGCACCCATATTACCAAAATGTCACCCTAGAGGAGTGCACATAGTCATTAACCTTTTCAATGGACACACTTTCGGCCTCATTAACATTTCCAGCCTCCACAAAAAAGAGCAAATTTTTATGCTTTTGCATTGCCAACATTGGATTTCAACAGTACCATACCTGATCAGCCATGAAATTGAGCACTTACTAGGTCTCAGTAGCGACAGAGTAAAATCAAGGTTGAATTTATGTGGCTGTTAGTGCATCCGCAGAATCTTATTGTCTGGACTTTGGATCCAAATGAAATATTCATCGCCTGAACATATTGGTTTTCTTCATGGAGCCTGGTTGGAAAGACGTCTTTGGAGTTGGGGTGTTTTTGTAAGCGTCGCTGTTATGCATTTATGAAAACATAATTGGTCGTCTTTGGCGATGAAAATACTCTTTGCTCCTTTGGAAAAAAAAGGTTTAATAATTGCTCCATTTGCAGGCGAAAGAATAATCAATTAATCAATCGGGATGCATGCTGTTTCATAAATATGTAATATTGTTATTCAGTCACACCAGAATGAGTAAAATGATCCTTTACAGGGCATTTATTAGCTCCAGTGTGTCTGCGATTCATGCCTGCCTTTCTAATCAATTTTGACCCATCTAAAATTGACCCTTTTCTTGCACTTTCAACTGAAAATTACTCTCTCAATAGGGAGCTAACTCAGGCTTTGGCACCATTTCATTTCCCCTCTCAACTATTCTCAGCAGGCTTCCAATATAAATCTAATAAAGAGCTGGAACTGTTGTCTCCTCAGAATATGTCGGCTCGGTCATTCTCAAATCAGAAAAATGCAATACAGCCCGTGTCCCACCAGCTCGCCGCTACGCCGTTACCTCTCCAGGTTCATGAAATCCTCCAGTTTGGCAAACCGCACTGCAAATCGCACTAAACTACCTGTTCCCTTGGCATCCACCTCAGTTATGCTAACACTATCCCCGGACGCCATGCCATGAAGCGAGAGCAGCCAGGGGGGATGAGAGGAAACAGGTGTAATCATAAAAGCTGTCACTCTCTGATACTGCTATTGGCACATATTTTACCCCAATGATTCGCACTCGGATGTGGTATAAATTTCTTACATCTTCGCACGACGGATTTGATTCGACTGACTTTCTTTTCCTGACACACTTTTAATACAGGCAAGGCATCAGCAGAGAGTTTGGTGTTGTAAGCACAAGTCCCACATCACTGAGTGTTTGGTTTCCTCGCACATTAGTCTGCATATTGAAAGAGAGACTGTCTGGTCGGCTGTCTTGCTATGTCCTGTGAGGCTCCAAGAGACTCTGGTGAAAGCTTTCAGTCAACTTTCTTGTCTGACTAAAACTTCTTTGATGCAACCGCAAAACGTCGAAGTCTGTGTACGCTTTGAACGTCCGCTGATGGTGATGATTAGGGTTGGAAATGCGACCACAGATGGGCCCAAGGGTCGAGTTTGAGCCATATCAGCCTAATACTTCCTGTTTTCAAACTCATTTTACTCTCTCTGGCCAAGGTTATCATCGTCTCAGAGAAAACTCCTCCATTTGGCGATATGGTTGAGACTGGTCAGAGCGTCTATCTGATGAAAGGATTTATACTCGCCATTATTTTTGCTCTGTTGTGGATGTCAATAGCAGGTGACAGGCAGGACCCAGAGCGTAAAGCTGATAACTCTAACTGCAAACTCGATGTTAGATGTTGTGAATCGTCTTTTTTGAAAAGAGTCCAATTGGACCCCCACACATAAAGACTTAATCACTGCAGGCGCTACAAGCGACCACTCATTGCGGATTGAACCATGAAATTACAGCTTTGCACCTCAGAGGTTATTTAAGGTGACGGAGAAGTTGAGAAAAGGTTCGACTCCACGCAGGAGTTTGTTTTGATCCCTGGAGGCGATGGAGGCACCGCTGCCGGGCTTCGCCTCGGGTGTGAGATACCAGATCCATGATGAGGAGGACTACTTTAAACATGAACTTTGAAGAGGTGAAGTCTGTGTCACTGTAACTTAGATTATAATTTAAGTAGTATGATTGTGATTCTCCCTTTGAGTTAATAGTGATACATTTAAAGTAGTTAAGGAGTGAATCAGCGATCATTGGAGGGCGGTGCAATTCTTAGCAACTTGGTTGTGGGTATTAATGCTGCGCTTCAGTTAACTCCGAAGTTGGGTGATAAAGCTAGGAATGACATTGCACCCAAGTTGATGGTATTCCAGTAAACAAGTCGGAAAACCAAGATGGGCGCCTACTGTTAGCCATTGTCAGCTGTCGTTAGCGTTACCAGTTGTAAACAACGCCTCGCACAGTATTTTACTCTTACAAACACCATAGCACCGTGTTCACAGTTACCCGGGATTTCCACAGCAACTGGAACAGCAGCGATTTTCGCCTAACGCCAATTCCTACCGGATCCATTTGTGAGACGAATTCCGTGGCGGATCACGGACAGCGTTAATCGCAAGAACTCACAAGATTCATGTGCAATCGTGCAATAACGAGTTGTCTGTTAGCCACAAAGGCTAACCATATAAACAGTAGATTGTGTCCTTCCAGAGGAGGTAATCTACTTCTAGACTTATAAAATCCGCATCTCCTCATCCATGGTGTCATCGAGATGAAATCCTGTCTATAAAGTTCCGGATGCTGTGGAAATTGCCGGCTCGACAATGAGCAGTACAAAATCCGGATGTGTCTTACAAGTCACAATGATCAGTCACACCTGGATTAACCAGTTTGTCCAATAATGTAAGACAGGAAATAAAGGAGCTGCCTTCAGTTCAGGAAGTAGTGGATCCGTACATAGAGCCCATTCACTTAGGAATTATTGGATTTCTGGTTTTCACGCCTTTGCGGTCACATGATGGTGGTCATAAGGTTCGGTCAGGTCCTTTCATGTTGTTTGTCACACTCTTGGTGAGGTCACAGCATGAATCTGTGGGTCTGTGATCGTCCTCCATAAAGAATGTGACAGTTTGACTTATATTACAGTATTTACGGTAATTTAATTCCACGCGTCTCACTCTCATATTAACTCTTCATTCATTGCTGTGCTGACTCTACATTTCCTCACCACTCTGTTTGCACTGGCACCAACATCACATCAGTCTCTGTAGATCCACGTCGTCCTGCTGCTGCTGCTGCTGTTAGCGCTCTGAGGCGGCTAATGACTGACAAGGGGTTGTACTCTTTGCCTGTGATGTTGCATACATACAGGACTGGGCAGCGGTCATGACACTCCTCATAACAGCTGAGGTGTGGGGTTTAGATTCAGGCTTGTGTGGTCATGACTCCGACACTGCACCACCGTCACCATGGCAACCCTTTGAAAAGTCCGCCAGCATCACTTCTAGTCATTAGCACATTGTAAAGGTGGTATGTTGCTTCCCAGCCACAGCTGTTTTGACCGGCTCCGTTATGCATCAACTATATAAATGAGAATTGTTTTAAATGCAGGGAAAGATGTGTGTGTGCATGTGTGTGTCTGTGTGTGTGTTTGTTTGTGTACTGCAAACTGAAATGGGCATTAGTCAGTTTGAACTTTTGGCTACTCTTTCATCAAAACTGGAGCCGGTGCTGCAGAGCTTTCATAATAAATATCACTAGAGTGTAAAACATATTGTCGTCTGAAACAAAAGGTCAGCGAGTGCATTGCCATGCCGTTATTTAATCACCGTCTGGCTTGAAAAAGTAAAAAGTGAGCTTGTGAAGGTCCTCTCAATCGTTACAGCATGCAGTATGGATGCAAAACCAAAAATGCTGCAGCGTCTCAGAGGCATGCACAGAGGGTTTTGATTTTCTACTGTAAAGATGGGGATTTCTGGAGGCCCAGCCTACTTTGAAAGAGCATGCATTCAATTTTTAAAGCTGTTATACAATCTCTGAAGAAGAAAAAACAACATCCATCGATCTGAAACTCTCTCTTTTTAGCAGCTAATATGTGATTTTGTAGATCTGAGGTTTGAATTGTTAAAACTGAAGTAGTGCAGATTTATCTCCTTGCTGGTTTTGTTTTCATGTATCAGCAGATGATGTGTTTGCATCTCTGTGCAAATGCAGCAGTGTACGTCAGTGAGTGTGCTGCCTGTCTCCTCATCCGTGCCTGAGCGTGCGCGTGCGCCCGTGTTTGTACTGCTCACCGTTCCCCACACTGCATCTATCTAATTATGCACACAGCAAAGAGACTATGAGACAATTCAATCTTTTGTAGTAATTGATCCTTCCACCTGAGGGCAGTACTTTCTAATCTAATATCAGATAAATCTGTTTCACATCTTCAATTAAACTCCAATATTGAATTGGCTCTCAGGTTCAGCTCACTTGTTTTACTTAGTTCACCTTCTTCTGTTTGGAAAAAAAGGCAGAAATTCAATATATTGGCCTGTAGTACCGTCTTTTCCCTGCAGGATGAAGACACTCTCTCTCTCCCTGTGGATGGATTTGAAGAGTTTTCTATGTTGTCTTTCACTGCTGAATACTGATCTTTGAATTGTGCAGGATGCATTGAAATCACGCTGTGTGCAGAGAGGCACAGGTTTTAGTGGATGTGGAGTTCTTAAGGGCTGTTGCAGACATTGAACCTGTGAACCTCTTTCACAGGGAGGTTTTTCTTAAGTTATTCCTCTCCATTTTTATGTGCCAAGCTAAGCTTGGACTCTGTTTTAGTCTTTTATACAGTTGACCCTGAACAAAGTAGATGTTTGCAACTCGGGCAGTATTTCTAAATCCTGAATCTTTATTAAAATACACTGAGGGAGGCTCGCTTCCACTCTTCATTTTTATTCCCCAAAGACTGCAGGCTTTTTATTTGTGTCTCACACCGGGCAATGAATCATACAGCAGAGCTCCTCTTTTGCATTGCTGCTCCTTTTTATTCTCTCCAGAAACAATTACATCCAGCTTTACACAATTCAATTATTTTTGCAGATCAGAAACACGTGCCGGAGGCCTCGCTTGTCTCCTCCTCTTCATCCAGAGACAATCTTTGCTCTGCTGACATACAGAGCCACCTACCACCACAGAGGATAAGAAGAGAGAGTTTATATTCATAAAGGAAAAACCATCATAAAAACAGCTTTAGTGGAATTTATACCCAAAACTGGTTCTTGTAAAACAACCGAGTTAAAGCTCTGCAGATGATAATGAATGTGATTCTTTGAGTGGGTCTGGCACGATCAGGAATTTTAATATTGATAGATCATTAAAGTGATAATAAGTGAAGTTTTAATCTGAATTAAAACCCTCCAAACGGGATTCAGATAGTAAAATAAAAATAATAATTATGTTAATTAATCTAGCACTTTTAAAAGAGATATAGGAAGTGCAGCGTTCGTTTCAGTTGACCGCAGAATTATGTGTTGGGTTGGTAAATCAGGGACAGCAGAGATCTGTAATGTCAGTTAGAGAGCATGTCTCACTTCACTCTGATGTGAACTGTGGAGTCCCTCAGGGGTCAATATTAGGACCAGTTTCATTTTCTGTCAACACACTCCAGTGTAGCTGTCATGATATGTTTTGTTCATTTAGTTTTTTCCTGGTTTTGTTATATTAGTGCATTTCCGACTCCTTGTGAGTGTTTGCTCCTCGTGTTTTTCCCTTTGGATTTTTCAGTCGGACATTTTGAGAGTAAGTTTTAGTTGGCCTTTCCCTTTTTGCTTTTGCTGAAGTAAATCCTCAGTTCTGCATTTGAGTCCTTTTTTTCCTGTGCCATGTCAGTAGCCAAATAATAGGTTCAGGTTCAGGTTACTTTATTAATACCCGAAGGTAGATTTGTTCTGCAGTGAAATAAAGTGATGACATCCATGTATACAAGTTACGGTACAAATATAAAAACAACCCCAAGGCTCCCCAGTCAGGACACAAGAGAGGGAGAAGAACATCAATACATAAAGAAATGCAAATAAATAACCCAAATAAACAACCTAATACAGAGATACTATTATGTTTCATTGCTTTGCTGATAACGCTCAGATATATCTGCCGGAGCAACATTTAAAACCTCTCCAGCCTGAAAAAATGCCTCACAGCAAAAATTTAAAAAGTCATAATTGGTCCAGAAAATGCAGGTTTTAGTCCTCTTTTGGTTCTCTCTTATTCAGTTAAAACTCGATGTGACAAAACCTGGTTGATACTTTCGACAGCAGCCTCAAATTTCAGAAACAAAAAGTTATCCAGTCGTGAGATTACCGCCCACGAAATGTCCTTAGAATAAAAACTGAGCTGACTTTTGACGACACTTTTCACAGGAATAAATCAGAAAGAAATAAATCACCTTCAAATTCTGCAAAAATTCAACAGCCAGACTTTAATCATCAACTACAAAAGGAAGAATATTTATCCTGTTTTAATGACCTTACACTGGCTACAGGTGCCTTTAGAAACTGATTTAAAGGTTTTATTCTTTTAAACACACGATGTTAATATATATATATAAGAACTGTTTCTTTTTACCAGGCAGAGCACAGCCTCAGATCCTCGTAGCTTTTGCTGTTCAGGGTCCCTGACTCTTGAAAGACCTGCCTGAGGATTTACAAACAGCTGCAGCAGCGTCTTCTTTGAAATCGCTCCTGAAAACATGTTCCTGTTTTATAACTTTACTGAACTCCAGTTTTAAGTTGTGTTGATGAGTCTCAATGCAACACCATCTTTGTGATCGTCCCCTGACAAAGAGCACCAATCTTATACTCGCTTTTCCCACCTGACAAACTTTCAAATAAGACTGACTGTATTATTCCTCCAACATGGACGATAATGTCCTGCATGAATCACAGCACCACAGTCACAAATAATCATCAGGACCCACAGAGACCCTGAACATAAGAGTAAGAACAAAACATGAGCAAAAAGGACCACTGAAAATACAAAAAGACATAAGTTATAAAGTTATTTTTCAGGTCTGAATTTTTAAACAGATGATTTTTCCCTTATCTTAAGATTAGGATAATTATTCCGACTGTTTCGTCTGAATTTAGACTTTTTAAAGTTTTCTTCATGTAAAGTCAGAATTTTGTCCTTTTTAGGTTTCAGACTTTTTTTTCAGAGTTGTTAGTTCAGAGTCCAAATCACATTTTCATCAGAATAAATACTTTTTTTTCTGTTTTTCTAAGATTCAAATAAAAAAAATGAAATTTACTGGAGATTCTGACTTTTTTATGATCTCAGAGTTTGAAGTCATGATCCGAACTTTTTATTTTAGAATTTTAAAACTTCATTTAGATTTCTGACATTAGGACAATTTTTTATCTCTGCTTTATTTCTTCTTCTGGAAAGCCTGAGATTGAAGTCAGAACTCTAAAGACAAAAATCAGGATTTGTTACATTTGAAAACCCAGACACCAATCTTAGTTTAGGTAAAAAAGCAAATTCTGATGTCAAAAAAGGGACCCTAATCGTAACCTGAAATCCTAATCTTATCTGAATTTGACAAAACGTAAAGCTTATGTAAGGAACTTTTTGTTTGTGTTAATTTTAGAGCCCCCTAGTGGACAAAGTAGTCATTACATGAAATACTGCATCCTCTTTAGTAGTAGTTACATGAAGTATCTTTTTTATTCAACGATATTTTTATTATTTTTATGCAGATATACAAAGGAAATTCCTATTACTGTGCTTAAATAACTAATTCTGGAGCTATAACAAAAAATCAAATAAATAAATAAATACATAAATAAATAAAAAATACAAGTAAGTGCTCGATTTCGGGTTTTGTAGATCTTGAAATACATAAGATGTTGAAAAATAAAAGTAAAAAGAGAGCAAGTTAAATGATCTACTGTACGTAAAGAAAAATACAAATGTTGACAATTCACTGAAAACTGAAAAAGTCCATAAAAAAGATAATTTAAATTGTATGATTTTAAACATCACAGAAATATATTTCAAAAAGAAAACAACTAGAAGGGGGAGAGCTGATTCAAAATGATGAATGTAGTTCAGGGAAGGTCCCCAGATCTTTTTGAATTTCCATGAATTTCCATACATGACAAATATTCCACTTTATGGTCACGTACCGCTTTTATAAACAATGTTATCAAGCTGAATTTTAACATTCACGTATAACCTTAACTTGGAGCATTTTATGTCTACAGTGTTTTTCCTCCAGCTGCTCTTTGGCAATTCATCAGTCTTGTTGTTGTTTGTTTGTTTGTTTTTTATATCATGAAAAACCTTCAGTATAAATTTCTGTCTATTTCATAAATGTGAAAAAAGAAAAACTCCCTATAAGAGCTTTAAGTGCATTTTTGTTGCATCTGTGCGATATGGACGAAGATATTTCTGAACCAACAGAAGAAGAGTAAACCTCTATATCTCCAGAGCGTTCTGTGTTATAAATGTGACTTTAAGTAAGTGAGTTTCTTATGAGTCAAACTCTTGATTCTCATGTCCCTCATGTCGATCTCATCAGCAGTATAACCAACATAAAACATGTTATCATATAATTAAAAAAAAAACCTTTAAAATCAGAAACAAACTTTTGCAATAATCTCCTGCTTTCCAGTCAGCCATGTTTAATGACTGCATCTCCCATTGATCTCGCTTCCTCTAAGAACATTAATAAAGCAAAGGCAATATGGCTTTGTTTGATCATCCACTAACAGGATTAGAGTTTTAATAGAACAAACCTTTTTAATAAGTTTGATGATAACAGCCGCAGATTAAAACCAGATATTCTTCTTAGGGAGACATAATCAACTTTAATTCCCATATTGTGTTGCAATAGAGCGGACGGGGGTTGTTATCAGGACGATTAATATTCTGTCACCGCTTCTTGAAGATGGTTGAAAGTGGGTGTAGTCGGTTCAAAACGTTTGATTGGATTGCATGTTTAAATTCATGTCAAGTGCGGTTTTTGTCGAGGAGACGTGGACGCTGCAAATCGATGAAAAACGACAAAAGCAGCAACAGAAATTTATCGTTATACGTGTGATTCCTCAGTTAGAGAGCAAAAACTGAATTTATTCATGTTTCCATCATTTGTAGACATGAACATGCAGCTGCATATAGAGAGAGAAAAGTGGACACTGTATAATTATGGATAATTACAGGTTAAATAGGTTAATTGTATGTTGCTCCGTACATATTTTTATCATGTGTGTCTGAAATGGTTTTGTGTGAACAGTGCAGGAGGGCGGCCAACGAAAATAGAAGAAAAAGAGAGAAAATCAGAGTTGATGTACTTTGTCAAAGACAAACAAACACACAGACATGTCCAGATGCTTTGCAGTCCCACGGTGCTCAGCAAGGTGTGCAGCATCAGCTGTTGTTTTCGCTGAATCTACAACTGTCCCAGAAACAAAAAACAAACCAAGAGGTTTATTTCTATTTCTTCATGCCCTAAAGTTTTTACAAACATGATTTATCATTACTGCTTTTTACAGGGTTATTATCCGTTAATAAAAGGTTACAAACTTCATCGCAGTGAAGGTAGTGAGTGTCAGTCTGAATCAGACATGCAGGAGTTTTTCAGGGAGTTCGGGGCGGACTCGACTCTCTAGAAACGTGACCTGACCTCGCCAGATCTTGGTTTCTACTCTCCCTCGACTGTCTGGGTCGGTTTTGTGTTTGGTTTCTGCAAATTTCTGATTGGACCCCAAATGACCGAAGAACAAAGACGGGTTCTGCTCATTATCACTGAATAAAAAGCGTCTGAAGCGTTTGCATTAATGCGTCGGGTTTTGTGTATTTATATTTCAGGAACACAGTCAAGCCACTCCAAGAGACAATGACACCAATGATAGACTGTTTTTATTTTAAATATTAAAGGTTTGAGATGATATGTGAATATTAATAATTGATCTGTGA